TCTGAAGCAAGCATCAGAGAGTCTAAAGGGAAAAGTGCAAGGCCCGAGGATGAAAATTATATAAGGGGATGAACAGTTACAAGGACTACAAGGCTGGCTTTCGTAGAGAACAAACAATTGCTAGTGAAAAAGCTGGTGGAGCACATGGTCCTCTGAGGGCTTCAGCGCATATAAGAGTTTCAGCAAGGTTTGATTATCAGCCTGACATATGTAAGGACTATAAAGAAACTGGTTACTGTGGATATGGCGATTCATGTAAGTTTATGCATGATCGAGGGGATTACAAGTCTGGTTGGCAGTTGGAGAAGGAATGGGAAGAAGCTGAGAAAGCAAGGAAGATGAGATTGGCTGCAGGTGAAGACGCAGACGAGGAGGAGGGTGCTAACTTGAATGATGAAGATGACGAGGATTCGTTACCTTTTGCATGTTTCATCTGTAGAAACCCCTTTGCGGATCCTGTTGTAACCAAATGCAAGCACTACTTCTGCGAGCATTGTGCATTGAAGGTATAATATAATAGTATTTAATGTTGCATGTGTATCTATTAAATATTTATAAAAGATTTTATGTTTCTCATCATTAGCGTGATACTAACACACTAAATATCTTGCCATTTAGTTACTACTCTTCTGTTTGTTTTTATTTACAGCACCATGCAAAGAATAAGAATGTTTTGTCTGCAACCAGCCAACACTTGGCATCTTTAATGTTGCTCACGAGATACGCAGGAAAGATGCCGAGGATAATAATATTAGTGATTAGCCTTAGATGAAATTTGTTTAAAGGGTACTCTTATTTCTTTAATTTTAAAGCCATTATTAGATTTAGAATCTGCTTTGAAATGGGACGACTTTGGAATTCTTTTTGCAGTCCCATAATTTTCATGTAAACTTTATGGAGTGGTTAAATGACACCAATACACTTAATATAATATATATTTAGCTTAATTAAGTTTAATAAATTTTTAAATTTTCAATTGAATTTTGATTATATTTTTATTATCTATCAAGTACTAAAAGAAATTTGGTAATGCCATTTGGTAGTCAATGAGAAAATTGGTTGCACCATTTAAATATTTTATTGCACCATATCGAAATATATTTTGACTGAGTCCAGAGTTCAATTTATCATACATTGTGCACATACATTTTGGATAAAGTAATAAAATGTTTACACCTTATCAACTGGGTTAAAAACCGGAAAGATTTTTTCATCTTGACCTAATTTCATCAAGGCCCACATTTGACCCAAATTAGATCCTAATATCAGCCCAGATTGTGTACAACGGAAAATAAGAAAACAAAAAATTATTAGCAGAAAACCTTTTTATCAGAGCCAGGTTTCGATCCTGGGACCTGTGGGTTATGGGCCCACCACGCTTCCGCTGCGCCACTCTGATTTGTTGATATCATCAATCAAATTAAGTTCTACTATATACTTTACTTATTTAATTCAGTTATTAGAATAAAATAAAAAAATAATTTATCACTTCTTTTAATATTTTTAGCTTTATACGTAGAACTTAAACTTAAACTTATATCCCTTCAAATTAAAATACTAGTCATCCTTTAATATTGTAATGTTATATATTATAGAGATCAATATTATTTATTAAAACAGTACTTTTTATATTGTTACAAATCTTATATATCCAAATAATATTATTATCCATCGATATAAAAGTTAAATATGTAAATAAGTTTTTGAAAGCCTTCATATTTTTTTATTACTGAGAGTAGTTACTATTTTCCTCTTTTCCAACCATGAAATTTTGAATTTGTACTTTAGCTATAACAGAAAATGAGCTTTACTTTGAAGGTGTCTTATGTTAACTATAAAGTGTCGTCTAAAATGGAAATTATTTATAGAATTATAAAATCATAAAGGTATAAAATAGCATATAACTAAGTAAGGTGATAGATAGATAAAATAAGAATATACATTTAGAATGATTTTTAAACTGAATTTTCAAATAATAATAACAATAAATAAAAAGAATTAAATAAGTTATAAATTAAATTTTAAAATATGAATAACAACGAATAAAATATTATTAACAGTTTGAAAAATCGTAAAAATTATAAAATTAAAGATTTAAATGCACAACAACAATTCAAAAAATGCATAATAACTTAAAAATCAACACTACCATGTATAATTTCAAAATAAACGATAATTTTAAAATAAAAATATATAATTTTTTAGTTTTGAATGTATATTTTATTGTTTTATTTAAGTTAATAGAATATAATATTTAATTTGGATAATGTTTATTAATAGTTTTCAATTGTAGTATAATTTAAAACAAATTATAATAACATCATATATTTTTTAATATAAAATGAGTGAATAATGATTTATGTAATATAAATAAATAACTACAAAGTGAATTAACATGTTGCGTATTTTGTTCCCTAAATGCCATCACCTTATCATTTCGTGTATTAAGAATTTTTTCTTAGTGTAAAATTATGCTTTCCTTCTTCATAAAAAAGATAGTCAATGGTGAACAAACCATTTCAAAATAGCGAGTTGATGTTAAAAAAATATTGACGATTGTATAACCCATAACACTTACCTAAAAATCCATTACTTGCTCTTTGGGTCTCTAAGATGCACAAACATTTTAAAATTTTCTTTAACATTTTTATGTGAAAGTGACATAGAAAACTACATGCATCAAAAAACACAATCCTACTTGCATTCATCAATGTTTATAGCTCTCTATGATCAAACCTATAAGAATGATAGTTCACTAAAATATCATAAATGCCACAAAGGGTGTTATAAATTAACTTGACAACCTATCCTCACCATTATTTAACAGATTTTACAACTTGTAAAAATTGACAATCAAGTTTCATCAACAAATCCTTTTAAATCTTTTTTGTATCACCTATATTTATTGTTTTTTTTTTAACATTTCGGTTATTGGGGCTAAGTCACCAAACTCCTTCACAATTCGTCTTTTTGTCGTCCGGTCGCGTTCTAAGCTCCGCTCTCTCGCTCCTTCGTCCGGGAGGAAACCTATCAAAGATCCTCCGATTCCAAAGTTAGTATTCAAACCGTTCAGCAATTCAACAAAGAGTAATAAATGTGCAATGAATGCAACCTATCTACCACTTACCTCTGACCTATATTTATAGTTTTCGTCATGGGCTTGAGATTAGTGAAAAGTTAATCACGGTCCAATTCTAGTCCAATGACTCTAATCACTATTTACCTTAATCTTAGTCTTAATGACCCAGTTCACCTATCGGTCGATCTTGTGCAACCGTCCAGTTAGGCGGTGTCGGCGCTACTCTTTGGACCGCCCGATTCGTACGGTACATAGTTGTTACTCACCCGAGTGAAAGGATGAATGGTCGAATAGAATAACGCGCAGTGAGTGTTTATGCAAGCTATCCAACAATGCTGTCAGAGGAGTAAAAAGATAGGAGAAACGTCAGCGGTTGGGTCGATATCGGCGCCACTATCTGGACCGTCCGACCCGTATGGTACAAAAACATATTTGTATTCATTTCTCAGTTTTTTTATTATGTACCTAATTTCAATATCACAATGACAATTTTAAACTTAAAGACAATCTTCATTATCTATTTTAATAAGTCATCGAACATAGTAAATACTTTAAAAATATTAATTACATAACTTCATTAATATATCAAGTTAGTTATTGAAAAATATACTTTGCCATATCTAATATGAATCACTATAACCTAATAATATTATTTTACTTTTATACTAATACAAAACAACCTTTTTAAACTAGTTAAAAAAGTCTTTTTAAATCGGTTTTGGAACCGGTATAAAAGTAGAAGATATAAAAATATTAAACTTTTTAAATAATTCTGAAATCGATTTAAAAAATCTATTTTCTATACCAGATCTCTGAAAGTAAATTTAAAAAATTCACTTGGGAAGTGTACCATAGGATACCTGAGTCCACTAAACGGTCGACAAATAACCCAACCGACCGTCCACTAGGCCTTCTTATGTTCGTATCACTTACAGTTTGATGTCGACTACTTGGTGATCGACAATTAGACAGTAATGTAGTCTGCTAAACGATCGACACATAACTCAACCGACCATTCACTGGGTTTTCTTACGTTCGTATCATTTAGAGTTAGATGTCGACCACTTGGTGATCGACAACTAAACAGTGATGTCGTGACAAAATGCTCGCACGACAGTTCGCATAGTTACATCAGTACATAAGACGCTCGACGTATAATGAGCGATATCTTAAACTTAAACGGTGTAGCGGTTAGAAGTCACCAATTACGAATATCGGTCAATGCCATAAATCATGGGAATAACTGACCCAGTATCAAACACGATCTAGCAGTTATAACTTCCAGATAATCAACTTCGGTAACCATCCGGACTTTCAGGTAAACGGTTTATTTTACTGTTTTAAATACACAAAGCACACCAGAAAAAAGGTACGTTTTTCCCTTAAGAGAAATTAGGAGAGAAATTATTCTTCTTCTTCTTCAATATCACTTTAAACTAAAAAAGATTGAGGACATCCCTTTCCTGACTTGAGCGTCAGAGTGCCTTTGCAAGTACCCAGCCCATTCTCCCCTCAGAGAGCATAGTACCGAAGAAGAGATAGCACAGTAGCAGCATCACCGGAAGAAGTAGTTCAGAGTTGTTAGGTTCGTATCTCGGTCTCCACATCCTTACTGAAACATTTTGGCGCCCACCGTGGGGCCGAGATTTGCTATCCCAACAACGACCATCGGAGCAATGGAAGATTTCAACACTCGTGATTTGATCAGGCAGTTGCAGGCACATATTGAAGCACAGGCACAAACCATAAAGGAGCAGGAAGAAGTCCAGCGCAGGCAGCAAGAAATCAGCGCAAACAGGCTGAGGAGCTGGCGGAACTGAGGGCGCAACGCCCACCGCCAGAATTGTCTGCCTCGAACAGACAAGAGGATAATGAAGAAAGCCATCGGGGAGGAGCATCTCACCCCTTTGGTGGGGCGAGGATGGGGCCTACTTCCATACGCCTCACCAATTTGCTCCCGTTCACGGAGGCCATCATGCAAGCGCATATGCCAGATAAACCTCCTCCTACATTAGAACGCTATAATGGTTTCGCCGATCCTGACAACCACCTGCGCAACTTTATAGATGCCATGGCATTCTACACCGACAACGACCCCGTCATCTGTAGGGCTTTTTCCTTATCCCTTAAGGATGAGGCCCTGGAATGGTTCCACACCCTTCCGCAGAATTCGATAGATTGTTTTGCAACAATCGAATCCCTATTCCGAAAGCAGTACGCGACCAACAGAAGACCGGAGATGACAGCTGCGGAGCTTGTAAATACCAAGCAGGAGAAAGATGAAACCCTTAAAGCCTTCATGCAACGGTACAACGAGACGGCTCGGCGCGTGAAAGATATTAGTCACACCTTCATCATCAGCAATCTATCGTCGTGCTTAAGGTCAGGATATTTTGCGGAACAATTATATGCTGGCCCTCTAGCATCTATGGAAGAACTGCAATCCACAATCGCAAAGTTCATCCGCATCGAGGACCTCCGAAATTCTAGGAAGAAGCAGCAGCAGGATACCTCCAACCATGATGCTAAGAAACCCGCCAAACGACCGACCAACGACAACAAGCCATACCGAACACCCCGAAAAGAGTCGGGTTGGACATCTAACTATGATCGTTACACGACCCTCAACGCACCGAGAGCAAAGGTGCTCGAAGAGGCTCTGCACGCCGAACTCTTAACCGTACGGCGAAAAGCTACCCCAAAGAACGCGGACAGTAGCAAAGCGTGCCGGTTCCACATGAACCATGGGCATGACACGGAGGAATGCAATATGGTGAAGGACGAACTGGAGCGACTTATCCGAGCAGGCTACCTCCAAAACTACATCAAGGATAGAGCCCCCAATAGAGCTGCAACTCCTCACCGAAAGGATTCCTCCAGACGAAGTCCCGAGCGATCGCCTCCTAGAGATGACCGACGCCGTAGGCGATCGTGCAGCCCACCCCGACGAACAAAGAGGGAACGTTCAGTCCGAGGCCGAATCGACACCATATCTGGTGGTTTCACCGGAGGGGGAGTGTCATCTTCCGCCAGGAAACGACATCTTAGACAGCTAAAGTCGGTGCATATGGTCGATCGACAGCCTTAGTCGATCCCTGATATCACGTTCACAAATGCAGATTTCCACGCACCCGACCCTGATCATGATGATCCTATGGTCATCACTGCCAATATAGCTCGGTACGATGTCAGTAAGGTTCTCGTCGATCAGGGGAGCTCGGTCAACATCATATATTGGTCCACCTTCAAAAAGATGGATCTATCGGAGGACCTCATCGCCCCTTTCAACGAACAAATCGTAGGTTTTTCAGGGGAAAGAGTCGACACCCGGGGGTACCTCGACCTGCGAACGCGGCTCGGAACAGGTTGGGAGACACCAGAGCTCAGAGTTCGATTCCTGTTGGTCGAGGCCAATACATCATACAACGCCTTGTTAGGACGACCTTGTCTGAATGCATTTGGAGCAATTGTGTCTACCCCCCACCTGGCCATGAAGTTTCCTACGGAGCGTGGCACTATTTGTACCGTGAGGGCGGATCAGCGAACGACTCGACAATGTTATGTTACCGGGCTTAAGGTCACCCCTTTCGTACCAGCTAGAAAGGCGAAAGGAGCTGAGACAGCGGCGGTCGACTTGGACCCCCGAACCAATGTAGACGAACGTCTTCATCCGCAAGGCGAAGTCAAACTTCTTTCATTGACAGTAGACGCGTCCAAAACCACCAGCATCGGCGGGAACCTCACTTTGGGTGAAGAACAGGATCTGGGACGTATGCTGCGAAACAACGTGGACTTGTTCGCGTGGACAGCCGCCGACATGCCAGGAATCCACCCCGGAGTCATGGCGCACAAATTGTCCATCTTCCGGGAGGCACGACCTGTCGCTCAAAAGAAGCGTCGGTTCGGAGAAGAGAAGCGCAAAGCCATTCAAGTCGAAGTCGAGAAGTTGATGAACGCCCAGTTCATCAGGGAGTTAACTTACACTACGTGGTTGTCGAACGTAGTCATGGTCAAGAAGTCGAACGGCCAGTGGAGAATGTGTGTCGACTTCACCGATCTCAACAAAGCGTGCCCCAAAGATGGAGCGTCCGGTCATGTTATACTCAGCTTCCTCGACGCATACTCGGGATACAACCAAATCCCCATGTACGCACCCGATCGGAACAAGACAGCCTTCATTACCGAACAAGCTAATTACTGTTACGAAGTAATGCCGTTCGGTTTGAAGAATGCCGGGGCTACTTATCAATGCCTCATGGATAAAGTTTTCCATCATCAGATAGGACGATGCATGGACGTCTATGTCGACGACATGGTTATTCGGAGCAATTCTATGGAACAACACCTGCAAGATTTAAAAGAAGTACTCGGCCAAAATCAGAAGGTACAACATGCGCCTTAACCCTTCCAAGTGTACTTTCGGCGTCCCGGCGGGTAAGTTCTTGGGTTTCATGCTTACACGTCGAGGCATCGAAGCTAATCCAGACAAGTGCAAAGCCGTACTCGACATGGCTGCTCCAAAAACTCTACGGGAGGTACAACGTCTAGTAGGTAGGCTCACATTGTCTCGATTCATTCCGAAGCTAGCTGAACACATCAAGCCCATCCTGAAAAACTTGAAGAAGGGCACCACACGACACTGGGACGATGATTGCGAAACAGCATTCAACACTGTCAAGCACATTCTCACCAGTCCCCCAATTGTGGCTCGACCGGACACTGGATCTGACTTGCAGCTATATATCGCAGCATCCCACCACGCTATCAGTGCTGCCTTGATACAGGAGACGCCCTCCCTTAAGCTAATATACTTCATCAGCCGTACATTGCAAGGGGCGGAAGAACAATATTCTCGAATTGAGAAAATCGCCCTGGCCCTTCTCATAGCTTCTCGTCGACTTCGACCGTATTTCCAGAGCCATCAAGTAGTAATCCGCACCGATCACCCAATCGCCAAGATCCTCCGCAAACCTGACTTAGCAGGACAGATGGTTTCCTGGTCAGTGGAACTTTCAGAGTTTGGACTCCGATACGAACCACGCGGGTCCATCAAGGGTCAACATTTGGCAGACTTTGCAGCTGAGTTAATACCTGCACCAGAGGACTCGACCCGAAAGTGGCTCCTTAGCGTGGATGGATCCTTAGACAGATGGGGGGAGGAGCCGGCGTTGTCTTAGAAGGACCAGATGGTTTAATCATAGAGCAAGCCATCACGTTCAAGTTCCCTACCAGCAATAACCAGGCCGAATACGAAGCCTTGATTGTTGGTCTATCCTTGGCCAGAGGGTTCACGGTCGCTCGTCTAGAGTGTCGGATGGATTCAAAGTTGGTGGTCGGCCACGTGAACGGCACTTATCAGGTTAAGGATAATCAGTTGCTGCGCTATTTCCACAAAGTTCAGACCCTACTTCAAAAATTCGTACAGGTTAGCATCGTCCATGTGCCCAGGGAGAAAAACGCAAGAGCGGATCTCTTATCTAAATTAACTCACTCTAAGGAGCGAGCACAACTGCCCTCAATCATTAAGATGACGCTCGACCGTCCAGTCGTGGAAGCTTTCGTCACCAACGTGTCGACACCTGTAACAGACTGGCGCCAGAAGATCAAGGATCTTATGGTGAAACAAGAACAAGGAGAGAGCATTACTGTGACCGATTCCAAACGCATTGCACGTTTTTTATGCATAGGCGACGACCTATACCGCCGCGGCCACAGCACTCCTCTATTGAAATGCATATCAGAGGAAGAAGCAGACTACGTCCTGCGCGAGTTGCACATCGGGATATGCGGATTTCATTCGGGTAAGCGGACACTCAGGGCGCGCATGCTTCGCGCAGGATATTACTGGCCCACACTCGACCACGATTGTGAGACATTCGTCAAGAAGTGTATATCTTGTCAGGCCCACGGTCACGACATCCATGCACCTCCCGAAGACTTGTATGGTATTGTTTCTCCCTGGCCGTTCGCTCAATGGGGCCTCGACATAGTTG